CTTCCCCCGTGCCCCCCGCAATGCCCCCCTACCCCCCCCCCCCCAAATCATCGGTGAACGAAACTGCGGTAGCTACAACCATTGTACGACGAGTACGCGGTTATTACAGCTGACAATGATGATGATGATGATGATGTGCATCAAGCTACAGTGCGGACTGTTTTGTTGTATAGCTGAGACTTGGCCTATTCGAGCAGCGGAACTGAGACGTCTTCTTGTGTTCGACAATCGTTGCCTCAGAACCATAGCTCGTGTGAGTTGGTGTCGGCGAATCCGTAATAAGGCCGTTGGAAAGCGCGTTTTCAGCTGTGCAACAGGTACCTCCATTGAAGAATGTGTCCAGCACCAGAAGCTGCGTTGATTGGGACATGTGTTGCGTATGCCTACCCATCGTTCGCCGAAGACAGTGCTGTTTTCCATGCCCAATTCAGAGTGGCATACACAGAGAGGTGGCCAACCCTTGACTCGGCATAGGAGTATGAAGGAGATCACGAAACGCTTGGGTGCTGTCGGTGCTACTCGCCTTCCAGGATGGGGACCGCGTGATCCTCACTGTGCCTGGTTGGAGACACTTCAAGAAATGGCTGCCTACCGATGTCAGTGGCGTTCTTGTTGTCAGTTTCTATCCAGATTGCCTGAGTGAGTGTCTGGAGGTGTATGCACCTCTGAATGACTGTGGTAAGCTAGCACTAAGTCCCTTCCACGTCCACCTTTACTCTTTTCCTTACAATAAGGCTTTCAAATAAATCATGGTTGGAAGGCAGTGAGGGAGACGGTACTTTGGCATTCGGAGCACATGTCCTAACCAGCGTAACCTATGAAGTGTGAGTAATGTATCCCTTGGGAGGGATTTCTTCTCCCCAATACCATCTGACGTACCACAGCATTACCAGGCCGATATTTCTACCAGACCTTTTGTATTTCCTCTGCGCGTAGACACCAAATATCTGATCCATAAAGCCACAATGGGAAATCTGCCTTGACAGGAAACTCACATCACGTGGACGCCATAATTGTCGAAGGTTGGCAAAAGCTGCCCTGGCCTTCCCAAATCGAGGAACAACCTCATTTCCAGTTTACCGGAACCTATGCAAGTGACCAGCTAAACAAATTTTTACACCAGGTCGATTGGTTCGTCTGTAAACACAAGGTTCGAGTTTTATTCAAACCCAGTTTTGTAGCGGCAAGTAACACTTTGCAGGAGTGAAGCGCATGGCAAAAAGCGGGCCTAGCAACAGCGTTGCTGCGTCTTGCTAAACGGTGGTGAAACTCCGTATCCGTGCTTTTTCACAGATTCACGGATTGATACATACACTCGAGGCTTTTGCCCAAGTTTCCTGGGTCGGTTTTGTTCTTGTCGGTCAGTGGCTGTCGTTCACCTGAAAGGCACAATTGAAAAAAGGGTGTAGCACTGCTCTTTATGTTCTCAGCTAGTGTCATTATGCCTGTAAGGGCCAGGACTTGCATAAACAAGTGTCCAACAGTGCCTTAAACTGGGATCTAGGAGGAGCGTGGACAACCGTCGGAGGAAGGTCATTCCACGCAGCCACTACCCGAAATGAGAGAAAAATTTGGTCTAATGAATGTGTACACTGAGCTTGAAAATCTTACTATGTCCCGCCGTGTGTTTGCTGGGTCAACGGTGAAAACCCTGTTCGTGAAGCTTTGTTCAAACAGTACCCTCCCCTCGGAGGTGACGGTACTCCAGGGGAAAGAGATCAAGCATCGCGAGACGCGTTTCGTAGTCCACGGATTTAAGGCCGGCAATCAATCTCGTAGCGGCTCGATTGACACGGTCAATGAGGGTGACGTCTTTCGTGCGCCCTGAGTAGACAAATTGGTTGGCGTACCATAGGGTGGTCTGACGAAGGCCCCATAGACTATTTGGAAGTCCATGGGAGTAATACCGTTGGTTGGGACATGTGTTGCGTATGCCTACCCATCGTTCGCCGAAGACAGTGCTGTTTTCCATGCCCAATTCAGAGTGGCATACACAGAGAGGTGGCCAACCCTTGACTCGGCATAGGAGTATGAAGGAGATCACGAAACGCTTGGGTGCTGTCGGTGCTACTCGCCTTCCAGGATGGGGACCGCGTGATCCTCACTGTGCCTGGTTGGAGACACTTCAAGAAATGGCTGCCTACCGATGTCAGTGGCGTTCTTGTTGTCAGTTTCTATCCAGATTGCCTGAGTGAGTGTCTGGAGGTGTATGCACCTCTGAATGACTGTGGTAAGCTAGCACTAAGTCCCTTCCACGTCCACCTTTACT